CGCTTCGTTTCCATACTACTGATATGGGAGGCTTGTGGCTCATATCAATAAATAAAGTCAGTGCGGCTTTCAACTGGTCACTTGTGCGGGTTCGTGGCAATTTTTCATACCCTCGGCCAGCTTCGGTGCGGATTTTCCGGCTCTGTTTGAAGCCCAGACTGGAAAACAGCCATACACTACGCCGGGCGCCCGTGAGACCCTCTTATTTCGGCGCAAGCGATTTTGCGCTGAAATTTCTGTGATTTGCGCCAAAAATTAGGTGCCTATTTGTGCGAAAATTAAGCGCTTTTTATTTAAAGCACATGTGCACATCTACCGATCAAGGCTATATGAACCAGACAGAGTGTTCCGGGCCTTGTATGCTCTCCCATGTTTGAGCGTCCGAATGAGTTTTTCATTTCCACAGAAACCCAATACCTCAATAGTCTTAGCGCACTCTAGCTTCATGCCGTCACGGATCACATAACGGATCGGCAACTCCCCCCGCGACCTGTCTCCCCTGCCACCTGGTGGGCGTTTAGGTGAACTATCTTCACTAAGGACACGGCCGGCCTCGTGCGTGTTGAGGGCGTCGTGTCGGAGCTAATTAAGTGATTTTTCTGCGGAACATGGTTTCTCAGCTAGCTTAGAAGATACCTATGGTATAAATGAGAATGGCAAGAATCGTTAGAGACAGGTTAAGTATTTGAGATTGTATCCTTTGTCATGAAAATCGTTGTTTTCATACCCACGTGGGCGACCTAGCGTCCATCGTGAAATGAGTAATTTTCCGATCGCTGTCATCTCTTACATATATTTCATGAGTATATTTTTGATAAATATTCATCTGCCGATTAAATTACCGTAGCCACACGGGGTAAGCGGCATTCCAAAGAGCGTAAAAATAATGGCGGAAATACTTCAGTCATTTTTTAGGTCAGGTCAAAGGTCAGGTTACCAGAGGTCATTAAAGGCAAATTGTGTCTATTTCAACAGTTTTCGAAACACCCGACGCATAACTTGAGAACCAATAGAACTACAGCGCCGCGGAAAAGCACATTCGATAGCTCTTTCACAGGTCTTTCTGAGTTTTATTCATAGATTTGACCTCAGGTCAACGGTGTAGCCTCCAGAGGGCAAAAACTCAAAAAATAGGCGTGTTTAAGAGAAACGTTTTTTTTCGGTGATAACTTTTGACTTAAACGAGCCACGACATTACTTTTGCCAGCATCGTGTTCCTCTCGTCGAGACGCGTCGAATGAACTATACTCGTAGGTTGACCTTGAAAGGCCATTTTGAAAATTTTACGTCAGGCCAAGGTCATGACTTGACCGGAAAGGGTCATGCTGCATATCAGTCGATCCGTATCGTCGAGCTGAACACATCTGACGTGTTTTCATCGCTCTAGCACGTCTATCAAAAGTTATAGTAAAAAAAAAACTGCTGTTGACCGTTTTCATGCCACTGTTAACATGTAACCCGATGTTTGAGGGTGTTAAGAATGACCCGCCCAGACCAAATGAGACGCCTTACAGTTTGCTCTTATTGACTTATTATTAGTATTATATATATATATTATTATATATAGAGAGAGAGAATGTTGAATATGAGGCAATATACAGGGTGCAAAATGACCTGACCTGGCTGTAAGCCACAGATATCTTGAGATGTAACACGTGGCTAAACCAGCATCGGGGCCAAAGCTATAGTCACTGTTTAGCGGCACGCTGCTACCCAGTACCTAACATCATCAGGTATGGGTGCCTCCGTTCCTATGGAAACGTAAGCAAACTTCACAATGTTGCCAACGTCTTAATGAAAACAGGCTAAGTGTCGATACCTTGTAGCGGCGGGGAGGGTCGTATCGTGAAACAGGGGCCGAGGTCCACCTATAGTCTCGTTAATGGCCAGCTCGTTGGATTTGCTCCGATGTTATCTACTCCAACTGGTAGCCGGTGACCGTCTAGATAGGAACAGGGGATGAACTCGTACTATGGGCAGACGGATGAGGAAAGGTCTTCGTGTACCTACGGCCAAAAACGACGTTAAAGTTGCGAGGACGTGCTTCTTGCTCATACAACTCAAGCATAACTAGAATCATTTGGATCATTATGCATGCTCCAGCTGATTAGGGAATAAAGTATGTAACATTTCCATGTTATGGTAACATTCCAGCTGTTAGAGAGACTCCGTAATTTAATCCGTTCTTAACCTTTGTTTGTTTTTATTTTGTTGGGTTAGGCCCTTTCGGTCCATTGAGACCATTGCAGAGCCGGAAGGATTATAGGAATTGGGGTAAACATTGGTATGGACAGGCACCCTAGAGAGTCACCGGGGCTGAGCCCGTCCGAATTGACAGGCCGACCAGCCCCCCAAGCACTCTCTGCACCCGGCTACGGGTGTGCTCCCATGGGAGGAGTGGTGCGCTTCAAGGGAGCAGCCCGCATGAGATAAAGTTGCCTGTCCAGCCCGGATCAAGAGTTGCTGCGTGGAGGAGAAGGATTTGAACTTGATCTGAACATCCTGAGGATGGAAACGACGGACGGGTGTTGCGTTCACACCCGTTTCCCCGTGCCTTTTAACACTGGTTGCGGCGGGCGGCCGGCTCCCCTCCTTAGTGAAGATATCCGCGCCGCTAGATGGCAGCCCGCTCCGCGGGTACACCGATAACAAAGGGAATCGGGGAGAGTTGCCGATCCGTTAGGTGATCCGTGATGCCGTGAAACAAAGGTGGAGCCGTGAGTTCCGGGACCACAAATTTGTGCCGATGTTAATATCGGCGGAGCAGTGTGTTCGAGGGTGGGAGTGGCAGCGAGGGCCGGGCAGCGGAGCAGCATGTGCTCCGGCACATCACCCTCTTCTCGGCACACGGCGCAGAGCGCCGCGGGGCACCGCTTGTCTGGGCACTGCTGGCACGCCGCGGAGTGGAGACAGCCGATTCGGTGCCGTATTGGAGCGAGCGGCCCCAGTGGCCCGCCCTCATCTGGTGCACCGAAACGGCATCCTCTCGGTCCGCTCCGGGGATAGGGAGCGGCGACGTGCTCCCGAGGAGTGGCTTGAATAGTGATTCTGAGCAGTTGTCGCGCCACTGATGCGAGGCCGCACAGTGAACCGCCCTGGTCAGCGAGTGGGCGTTTGAGGGCAGGGCGGCCGCCTGTTTTGCCAGGTCGTCCGCGCTCTCATTCCCCTCGATACCGCAGTGGGCAAGAACTCACTGCAGTATTGCTTAACGACGCTTGGCGATGTTCATTTCAACAAGGTCTTCCATACCTATCTCCACGCCGAGGGTTGAGGCCTCACCTGGGCAGCCGCTTCTCCGCTGAGTTCGAGCGGTTCACCAGTTCGAGCACGCGACGACCGGGGCGGGGAGGTCTCGTCCCGAAACCTCTCCAGAGCCGCCCGCGGGGCGAATCTGCTGCTAGATTGACCAGCGTACCGCATAAATTCGGTGACCGTCTTTCGCCAAAAAATTATGCGACCGCCGTGTGCCGAAAAATTCGTCCGCCGCCATGCGCTGATTTCGGCGCATGCGAAGTTACGCCGGCCGGACGTGCGCGGAAATTTTCGGCACAATCCCGCCACTACGTCGGACATATTCAGCATAACGTGTACCAATTATTTCCAGTCTGGTAATTGAAGCATCAGTGCGGATTTTGAGCTTGGGCTGGTGGGCACCTGGGGGCTGGGCGGTGCGCCTCGTCGACATGGGAGCCATACTTTGTAGACTGGCATATCACCGATATAATATATGCTAAAAAATGAATAACGCAGGCCAAGATAACTTCATGCCGATTGCCGACTGTGGCAGGCTTGGCAAGTGACAAGTGAACACTTGTGAGTCACTATCTTCCTAACTGACAAAAAATATGAAGTTAGAAGAGATAAAGCGAGATAAAATAAAATAAAATGAGTACGTACGTACCTACCTAACAATAAACATCCGAGTCGAGTCTCAGTGGTGGACATTCTGATTCGGGGGAGGTAAATAAAGGGCACGTATTTTGGGACTGCAACACAAATTATAGCACTTTGAAATAATATTACTTTAAATTCTTCTCATATGTTACGTACCTATATGTTATCATTACCTATAGGTTGTTAATTATTAGATTCTGTGAGTGATACATTTTTAAACTTGTATTGTTAATTTTTCTGGAAATTCAGTAAGTTATTGCTGCATGCCAGGTGGCTAGCTCTACGAAATGGCCACTGCCTCAGCTTGATACAATTTGATAACTGATATCTAAAATGATATCTAAAAATAAAAGATTCATGCCACAACACCAATGGATTGGTTCACAATTCACATAAGCTACTTCAACTTATGGCACTTCTTCACAGGAAGTGTGCAAAAGAGAGCCGAACAAAGTACCTACAAATCCTGGAAAATACTGTAACTTGCCTTTTTATGTTCCGAATTTTCTAAATATAACAATTACTAGAAAAAGAATCAAATTTTACAAATTTGACACTACCACTGATTGTTGCAGGGTATGATTGTTGTTTGCGCCAGATTCGAACCAAATAATCCAGCTACGTTCGAAAATTAGCGCGGATCAAAAAATGCTGACGAGTAAATTATGATTGTATGATCTAGCGGCTAATACACACAAAATAAATTCGAAGTTCAATAAGTTTTCTACATTTTAAAGTGGTTTTTATCTAACATTGAGTTGAGTATAATTTTTCTCATTTAATTTTAATTATTTTCGCTCAATAATGCAAATATCTTCTTTCTGTGTCAATCATAAATATATGACGTCACAAAAAATGATGAATATTTTCTGTAAAGAAAAAAAACGAATTCAATGTTATGAACATCACATTTAATGATATATCAACGTAATGATTTTAGAAAGATAAGAAAAACAATCATATTTCAACCAATATTGTTGCTTTGGTTATTTTAGCAACTTAATAATGAAAGACGTCACAAATCTAGAATCGACTAAAAAAATAACTTTCTAGTGTTTTAAAGACAGCTTGACGATGTTGACATTTTTTTCTCTGTGGGGGCTGGTGGGGGCGTTGCCGCGCGCGCGCCGTGTCAGCAAGGCCCTATATACCCGTGTCAGTCTGTGATTCGCATTTTCTAGACAAGTTTAAGGATTTCGAGGCCTCGTCATTGTTAAACACCTAAGGTAGGTTGAATTCAAATACTTCATCCCGTAAATTGGGGATATTTGATTCGAGATTGTGATTCACAGCTCAGTATTAGAGTTGCAAAATTTCCCTACCGCACTACCGGCATGCCGGTAATTTTTCACTACCGCAGGTTTTTTCGTGGTATTTGGCATGTCCTGCCGGTGGCATGCCGGTATTTTTGATTTTGCATTATGATATTTGCATAATTTGATTAGATTATGTGATTAAGAACGCTTGTTGTGGTAAATGTGATTGCTGCTCACTGTGCAGTCTTCAGAAACACATTTCAGTAATTCAAGTTCTTTTTGACCTTGCGTTTTTGATGAATGTGTTAATGCTTTTTGTAGGCAATACCTCTTTGATTACATGTGATATTTTAACAGCTGTAAACTGGAAATGAGTTTCAAAATTGTGGTATTTGTGGGTCCAACTCAGCCAAAATCAGGCTGCTGGAGTTTTGGTTGGACAATGGGTGGCTGCTGGGTGGGGCGGTTACTGAAATTGCCAAAATGTGGCATCTCATGTAGGGGTAAGCCAGAATCAAGAATGCAGGTTTTTTAGTATGCCGGTAATTTGGCGGTGTTTTTGCTTGGGGCGTGGTAGCATGCCGGTATCCCAGAAAATTTTTGTGGGGCGGGGCGGTGCCGGTAGCAGCCCATTGGGAAAACTTTGCAACTCTACTCAGTATGAGTAGTCAGTTGTTAACAGTTTCAGTTGAGTTCAGTTGAGTTTGACATTATAAACATTAATTTTGTAATAAAATGCAGACATTTTTATGAGCTTTCTCAAATACTTTTGAGGATCAGGTAGGTGGAGATGCTAACTCTGAGGGACTTTATTTGTGCAAGGGTGGTCCCAAGAGTAAGTGTGGCAAGGATATCAAGGAGGACACCTGCATCTGTTGTGATGTCTGTGAGACATGGTTCCACACTGAATGTCAGTTGAGGTCGGTAGAAGAGTTTGAGGCGATCCGTAAGTTCGGGTTCTTCTGGGTCTGCACGTTTTGCCAGCAAACACTGCCAAGTCTGCTCAACCAGTCCAAGATGAAAGAATGTGTAACCAGAGCACTTGATGAGTTCAAAGATGTGCTACTGGGTCAGGGTGAGTCTGTGGCAGGGGTTGCTTCAAGCAGCAGGGACTTATGCAAAGTCCAAGAGGCAGCGTACACTGATTTCAAGCGACAACTGGAGGAGCATGAAAACTTGATCCAGGCATGCCACACAGCATGTTCCGAGCAGGCCAAGTTAATTGAAGAGACTGTGCAGCGTATTGAGGTAAAAGTCACAATGCAGGATGAAAAAGTGGAAGTCACAAGAGCAACAGAGTTAGAACAAAGAAAGTCATATGCAGAAGCTGTGAAGAAGCTGGAAAAGAAAATAGAAGCGCTGTCTGACACACCAAGACCCACCAGTGATGACCCGGAGGCAAGTTTGACAAAAACAGTCGGCAGCTTCTTTGATAAAGAGAAGAGAAGAAACAACATTGTGGTGCATAATCTTCCTGAAAGCTCTGCCCAAAACTCAAAGGAGAGAGCACAGGACGATGTCAATAAAACTAAGAGTATGATTGAAGAGGAGCTGCACATCAAAGTGAACATTGTCAAGGCTTTCAGGGCAGGTAAGATCCAGCCTGAGAGGCCTCGTCCCCTGATTGTCACACTGGAGGATGAAGAGAAAAAATGGGATGTACTCAAGCAGGCACCTCAACTGAGGGGTCATCATGCATATGGTAATGTGTACCTGTCACCAGATCGCACTCCAGAAGAAAGGGAGAAGGACAGGAAGTTACGTCTTGAGGCAAAGAGACTAAGGGAAGAGGGTAAGGTTGTTCGCATCCAAAGGGGAAAAGTGGTGGTGATGCACGATGCAGGGGCAGCAAACGTCCACCACAACAAGGAAAGAAGCAGAGTCTGACTAAGTGGTCAGCCCATTGAGGAAGTCTGCGGTCTAGCTTACAGATATTTTGCATGTCCAGATCCAGAGGGTGCTAAAACTGCTTATGATGCATGTTTGAGGCTTCAGCATGGGCATGTCTGTGTCTGTGATGCATGTAAATTTTCAAAAGCAAAGGGGCATGTAACTAACTTGTCACAGGAGCAGGACACTGTGCATACTGATCGACCAAAGAAAGAACCAATTTGTCTGGAAAATGTGAATCAATTGAAAATAATGTACACAAATGCAGATGGTCTTCCAAACAAGCTGGATGAATTGGCATTGTTAGCTGAAACCTGTGCATGGCCAGATGTGATTGTTTTAACAGAGGCTATCCCTAAAGCCCAGATCAGGCCACTCTCACTTGGATGTTTTGCAGTTGGAGATCATTATGTGCCCTATTTAAACTTTGATGCAAGTCAGCCGGGACTGGGTGCATCAGGTAAGCGGGGCATTGTGATACTGGTGAAGGAAGGCATAATGGCATCAGAGATTTGCTTCCCTGGATTATTTGAAGAATCGATGTGGATGCATATTGAACCAGTTAAGGGTGAACTCCTCATTCTGGGAGCCATCTACCGTAGCCCTAGTTGTGATGGACCATCATCAACAGATGCCCTCTGTGAGTTAAGGCCGGAACACAGCACACGCTTGCAAATCGCGTCGAACTCGCGTCAAGCGCAAGGCCGTATAAGAGAGGTAGAATCATCCCGCGATTTCCAATGGACCGGTCGCTAAGCATTAGCGTGACGTCACTGGTGGAGACCGGGCGGCGCCCGGTTCCAAGCCGTATGTCTGGTACATTTGGCACAGTATAGTTGTTATTACTGAACGTAATGACAACTAATGACTCTTAATAACTTTTTTACTCAACTAAAGCTGATTTCCTTGCCGGTACATTGCCGACCCGAGCCCCAGGGTTGACAATCATGGGATATGGGTCGGATGGGCGACCTCGCGACGGGAGAAGGAACAATTGCAATTGTTGTGCCCGCACCGCCGATTGCATTCTCTATCTGCATCGGGGGGGGGGAAGCAGGGGCACGTGCCCCCATCGGATCAGGGGGCCTCTCGGGCCCGAGGGGCCTTGCGACGCCAATTGGCGGCTGAGGGTCCACGCTGGCATCTTTCGACTCAGAAGGGCCCCACAGGGCTCTGAAGAACACCTTATGTGCTCCGAAGAGCCACACTTCTATCCGTAAGAGCCCCACATCTGCTTTTTAGTGTCCCTTGTCGGCCTTTGAGGGCCCCTTGCTGACTTCTCAGGGCCTATTGGCGACCTCTGAGGGCTACTTGCCGGCCTCTGAGGGCCCTTACCGGCCTATCAGGGACCAGCAGCTCTAAGGGTTCCACAAACGCCTGCGATGACCCCCTAAACCAATGGTTGAAGGCCCCCACAACGGCGCCTGCGAGGGCCCTCACCGGCGGCTGTGAAGGCCTCACACCGGTGCCTAGCTGAGGGCCCCACACTGCCACCTCTGAGTGCGACCGGCACCCTTTAATGAGGTCCCGAAACCAGTGCTTCTTATCGGCGGCTCTGGGGGCTCAACGCCGGAGCCTCTGACGGCCTCAGACGGGACCTGCGCATCGGACGGCCACTCACCGGTGACTTTTGAATGCCCCACACCGACGATCTGAGGGCCCCACTGGCGTTTGAATGTATCTTGCTGGTCTCTAAGGACTCCACAGGGCTCCCGAAGGCACCGCAGACCTCTTGAGAGCCCCTGTCGGCCTGTACCCACACTGCAGTGTCTCTGAGGGCCAACAACGGCAACTGTGAGGACCCTCACCGGCGCCTCTGAGGGCCCACAGTGGCACCTCTGGGGACCCCGCAGTCCGCACCAATGCATCTGAGAGCCTCACACCGGTACCTGTGAGGGCCCACACCAGTGCCTCCAAAGGCTTCATAACCGGCGGCCCTGAGGGCCCTACACAGGTGATTTTGAGGGGCCTACCGAAGGCATAACACAATCCCTTAGTCTCGCTGAGCTTCTATCCCAATCCCATTACGGCTTCTATCCCAATTCCGGCTCAACTAATTAGCAGCCCCCCCCCCCCCCCATGGGTCAGCAGCGCCGCGCCGGTGCCGGGGGCCAGCGCCATCGGGGCGGCAGTCGGCCACGCGCACTTAATGGTTAGCGCTTAGCACCGACGGCTAGCGCACGTCCGGTGTGTTATCGGCCGTGAGCCGCTCCAAAACGGCTGCAGTAACTAGTCGATATAGGTAGTAAGCAGATGCAGAGATGCAGGTGGATTGATGACCGGCAAGCTTTTGTGTTTTACGAGAGTGAAGGGTCGAAGTCGGCTGCTAAGTGGTGAGCGGATTTTATCAGATGCCGGTTCACCATGACCTTTGTCCGGGTCCTGGTACCCTGACGCACTCTTGGAGAGCCAAATCACAGCAAAAATCCACCCACGACTGTATCTATACGGCTTACGCTTTTCTGAAAACGTCTGCGTTTGGCCTTCTACGGGCCCGGCCGGCCGGCCGGCCGCGCCGGCCCCGATTGGCGGTCCTCCAGTGACGTCACCGGTAGTGTTAAGCTGATTGGCGAATAATACATGGGAAGAACCGGGCCGACATCCCCCTGGTCAAGCGCGGAAATCGCTTCGTCCGCTGTGTTTTCACTTGCAATTCAGCTCGCAACCCGCGTCGAAAACGCGTCTCGCTTGGAAAACGCTTTAAGGCCGGAACACAGCACTCGCTTGCAAATCGCGTCGAACTCGCGTCAAGCGCGGAAATCGCTTCGTCCGCTGTGTTTTCACTTGCAATTCAGCTCACAACCCGCGTCGAAAACGCGTCCCGCTTGGAAAACGCTCTGCGCTCCCAAATCGCGGCTGAAACGCGTTGATTTATTGATTGCACTTGACCTTTGCACGTGACATCTTAGCATATCAATGCGTCTGTTTCATGACAAAATTTTGTGCGGCGTTCTTTCGATGAAAATTTTTTAACTTTGATATTTTAAATGACCTTCTCTTCGATCATTGATTAAAATCAGCACAGGTTAAAAGTTACTTTCTTTTGTAGGAAATTCCTTAAAAACAGTTGATGCCATGCC